GAAAAATGAGGACGACCCCCAGCGAGATGGATTGGCAAAGTAGTAGCATCAATGGGCTCAAGCGTGGCAACAATTGTGAGGCTGACCCATAACCCGACAGGGTTTCGTTCTGTAGTGCACAGGGTCGCTATGAGTTGGTACCAACTCGATGGCACCTAACAACAACAACAACTTCTAATGGCTACTTCCTCGCCTAACCCTATGAATAAACATGATGCATTTTCCCTACCCCCCAAATTTTAAATGCCGGAAAAGACTGTTTGGGGAGATGGGGGAAGCTGGGGTGGCGGGCTGTAAAGCAAGTCTCTTTCCTATAATAAACATTGCTCATATTGAAACTGTCTCACCTGATTATTCTTAATCCGCAAAAGGCAACACCCCTCTCTTGAAGGGAAGGGATGCAGTTGGCAATCCTTTAATAAGTCGAAGACATCTAACAATAACCATCACCTTAGTCAACCAATGTGTTAACTTTGTTACACCAAAACAGTAACTTCTCTTTGTGAACACTCTACCGAATGAGTTGAACGTTTCTGTATTATTAACTTCTTTAGAGTCTCCCATAGCGTCAGGGCTGATTTAAAGTAACAATAGCAACGGCTTTCTGAACCTTTTGGAGGAAAGTACATTTTGCGAGAATTCTTTAAGACTCAGCCCAATGTGGCTTCAGGCTGAAACCGAAAAGTGAACTTCATCACAAAAACTCAATCCAATGCAGACCACTAACAGAAGAAGGAGTGCAACCGTGACATAGATCACAAAACAGAGCCGAAATCACAATTTTTGATCTTTCCCGCTGTATCCAACAGGACCAACCACACTTATTTTCCATATGGTGCACATCACTTCCGTTCGCGCATTTTAATTATGTCAGAGCGTCAGTTCTCGCGGTATCGTCAGGCTTCTGGATTCTCTTTAAAGAGATCTCGCGAAATTTGTTTTACAGATTCAAGATAATCTCTCACCCTTCCTTACATCCTACCCATTCTACTGTCGTACCTTTCTCTTATCTAGTCTCAAAATTCTCTTCTCCCCTCCTTGGAACCGGCGGCCCTCCCCGTTTCCGTTTTAGACCGGAATCGGAAGTGGGGTGGGCGGGGCTGGCGGCGGAAAACGCAGCGGAGCCGGAGCCGGGACACGGCTGTGGCCGCTGTCCCTGCCCCCGCCACGGATCGTCTGGTGGCCAGGCTGTGCCGCTCCAGACTGCAGGGTGGTCCGGAGGCGGGTGGGCGCGGGTCTCCCCCGGTGTGTCCGGGTGGCAGCCTCCCCGGGCCCCCCGGGTGCCGCCAGGGATCATGTCTACAGCCTCTGCTGCCTCCTCCTCCTCCTCGTCTTCTGCTGGTGAGATGATCGAAGCCCCTTCCCAGGTCCTCAACTTTGAAGAGATCGACTACAAGGAGATCGAGGTGGAAGAGGTGAGCGACGCCGTCACCGGGTCCCGGTCCCCGGCTCCCGGCCCCGGCACGGCCCAGCCCCGTGGCTTTGAAGGCGCCTTCCTGGCTGGGGCGACCAGCGAGCCCCCTCAGCCGTTCGGAAACTGGATTGGGGGCGGGGGGCACTCTCCATGGTCCCCAGCGCTGGGGTAGTTCTCCCCTTTTTCTCACTGAGGTGTTCTTGAGTTTGGATTTATTACTTTTCTGTGTTTGGGTCACTTCAAATAAGATGAGCTGGTGTGGTCCACTAGTCCTCGTTCTGTAAGTAGTAATACATACAGCAAAGACCGTGGCTGTTTTGGGATTTCAGTACTCTAGACGTTGTTTTCAAAGTGCAAGGATTACGTTGTATTTGACTTAGAGCTCAGTGTCTGGCATGTAGTGGACTTTTCAGTAATGTTTGTTAAAGTAAATGGTGATTTCGTTTCACCGATTTCCTAGAACAGTTCTTGTAACTTTGTTTTGCCTGTACATGAACGTACAGTAGTCAGCTATGATGAAAGCATCTTTCAAGGAGTATATTCTGAAGAGCTAACTCATGATATCGGAGGCAGCTTGAATATATCACCAGAGTGGAAGTTAGAAAACCTGAGTCCGTTCTGTCCTCATATTCTGCAATAATTTGAGATAATTTGGAGCAAGATATGTTGGTGTATGTCTTCAGTACATTGTTTCTTTTCACATTCACAGAGAAGCTATTGGTAGTAAGGACTGTGATATTTAGGAAAGTAAAATCAGTGTGTTTATATATTTAGAAGGCACACGTTAGAACATGTTTTTGTTTTGTTTAAGGAAAAAAAAACTGATTAAAAATGGAACTTATATAATTACCATGTATTTGTCATTTTTAAAATGTATTCATCACTTTGTATTCCATATACCACAAAGTGATTGGTTTGTCCTATGTTATGAAAACCTCAAAAGAGATTTCGCTACTAAACATTTAAAGTTACTTTTCAGTTATGGCAAGCTAAAAGTAGTTACACCATTAACGTTCATCCAATGTTTTTTTCCTATTCATGTTTTGGAAGAATAATGGACTATAGAATTACACATTTTTATCACTGAAACATCAGAAATTATTCAGAACATCCTCATTTGTTCCTTTTTTTTTTTTTTTTTTTTTAACAAAGTAGCATAGTAGGGAAAGCTAGATCTTGATGATTACAAGGCAAGCTCAACATATCAGACAGAAATACCACATTGGCTGTGTGATTTAGGACAGGACAAGTTTCATAACCAAAGCCTTTGAATATTAGTTTTCTCAACTGTAGTTTCTTTTCTCTGTATAATAAAATAGTTCCTACTGGGCAGGGGATGCAAAACTTTACCCAACAACATGTAACACATATTACTAGGAAACTGAGTTCCAGAAGAACAGTGACCTGCTTTAAGGTCACATGGCTAAAAGAAGATCTGTGTTTTGAAAAGAGGAGAAGCTTTTGGTGTGTTTTTTTCCTGTTAAAGCTATGATAAATTCCTTTTTCAGAAGTGGTTAGTTGATCCAGCTTTCATGGCTAACATTCTTTTTTAAGAATAAAAATTCAATGAGTCAGTATTCAAGAATTGCAGTTTTTAAATAAGCATTTACGTCTACACTGTGGTAAACTGCTATGCTTGTAGACTACAAATTGTTATATAATAATAACTTGTACTTTGGTCTTCCAACGTCTTACACAGATTTTCATTGGATTCCTACAGTAACCTTAGTTTTTGCCGATTACTTTATAGAGCTTTATACATTCTTTATGGATTTTAATACCTGTATTAATTTTGTCATTTAAAAAATGCATTATTTTTAAAGGTTGAATTTAAAACCTTTAATGTGCCTTCACTAGAACAGTGCTGTATAATCCAGAATGCACTCCTGGCACTAGGTAATTTTTTCTCAGTGTAGATTTCATTTCTAGATTAAAATCATTATAAGAAAACAGAGAAAGATGATCAAGATCAAAAGTCTTTTATTGCCTTTTAAATAAAAGTTATATTCTATATTTCTCAATGAGCAATGTTGTTGAATCAGCATAATCTGAACAGAACTGGAAACTACATAAAAAATACTCTAACTATAAGACAAATATGCAGTCATTTAGTAGTTGAGTATTACTAAGGCATCAGCTAATTTTACTCTTGACATGCCTTCCTAATATTTTGGAGTCCTGCTGTGGTGCTGTGGGATAATGTACTGGATCGCAAGGTCAGTTGGAACTGCATGTTGGTAGTTCAAATTCACCAGCAGCTCCTCAGATACCCAATACAGGCTCAAAATGGGTTGGAACCAACTCGACGGCACTTAACAACAATAACACTGCAAGTACCATTTTCAACCTAGTCCACAATGAACATTCCTCACAATTTATTCTAACATTCTCTGTACCCAGATCCAGAATGATAAAAAAGAAACCACTGAAAAAACACTCCTCGGAAACCCTGTTCAGTGGTCCCTATGGGTCAGAACCGACTCAATGGCATTTAACAACAACAACATAGATTTCTGAGGCTAAGAATATACATAATTTGATTGGGTTAAGAAATGCCAAACTGACTTTGCAGTCCAGTGCATTAACCCTCCGTGCCAAATCAGGACTCCATAGGCAGTGTTGTTGTTGTTGTTATGTGCTGTGGAGTCGGTTCCGACTCATAGCGACCTTGTACAGGGTTTCTGAGGCTGTATGTAAATCTTTACGGGAGCAGAAAGCCTCATCTTTCTCCCGCAGAACAGCTGGTAGTTTTGAACTGCTGACTTTGCGATTTGCAGCCCAATCCGTAACCACTACGCTACCACAGGGGAAAAGTAATACTGGACTTGGTATTTAGAAAATTGAGGTATTCTACTTATTCTGATATAATATGTTTCTGTAACGTTGAACGTTTTCTTGGACCTCTTATTTCTTGTGTAAATATTGAATAAGATCATTTGAGATATGTTCAATATTTGTTTATAAGCTTCAATTTTAAAGTGAAAACATGGTCATTCTTTCCAAGGGTATGCTGTTTCCACAGCAAGCTTAAAAGTTCTTTGAGGGCAGTTATTGTGATCTCCCATGGAATGTAGTTGGTGACCAGCTAATCCTGGGTTGACAGGGCATATGATATCCCCATTTTGCAGATCTAGGCATGTGGTCTGAGATTTGGGTTTGTCAGAAGTCTCGTGCTTAAGTAAATGGTACAGCTGGGTATTGAAGTTGAGATTTCTCACTTTGAGTCTGTTACTTTTTCCACTGGACTACAATGTTGCTTTAATTGTATCTGAAGTATTTGTAATCAAACTGTATACAGAGAATGAGAAAACAAGAATACTGGTTTTCTGAGTAGTACTTGGTTCTGCGTACTTAAAGAATTTTCCCCTTTGCATAGTACTGCTAAGGTACTGTAGAAGATGAATAGAAGATTGCTAGGATTCTTTCCTTTAAAATAGTTGACTTTTTGTGAAGGCAGAACAAAAACTAACAGTTAATTACATGTTTAGAATTAAAAATTAAAAACTATCAAGATTGTAAATTGAGTACTTAGTCATAATTTGAAAGTAGGGTTAATCATACATGGTCCCATTGAGTGAGGAAGAGTTTTAAACTAGATTTTGGATTAAGTGGGTATCCATAGATTCGGGAAAACACTAAGTAGAACTCTTGGTAATTGTCTCCCTACCTAAAATTGTTCTTCCTTGGTAACTTGACATTGTAGGCTCCTTTGTACCATTCAAGTCCTACCTCAAAGGTAACCTCCTTAGAGAAGTTTTCCCTAAGCAACTTAAGATCTTTGTCACTCGTTTATCCTTCAGTGTACTTACCAGTAACTACATCTCTCTAGCAAAATGTAAGGTGCTTTGTTCACAGCTATAACCCAGTGCTTAACACCCAAAAGGTTCTTTGTAAATATTTGTTGAATTAGTGAGTGAAGTTAGCATAACCGTGATAATTTAGTGTCCATCTCAGTCTCTTTGATTACTAGAGGTGTTGAAATAAGCTATGTGATTTGGTTAAGGCAGCATTTATAGCAGAAACCAGATCTGATTGTCATTTCAATGTTGATTTCATTACACTCTAATATAATTTTACTTAACTATTTCATGTAAATAGTTTTACTTAACAGGGGTATAAAATGCTATAAGGGTCAGGTGCTGTGACTCAGCCAAGTATTGATGGACCTTTGCTTTTGTTATGTGATGTTGAGTCTCACAGTGACCTTGTGTAGCTGGTGGGTTTCATCTGCCAACTGTGGTTTGCAGTTCAGTACTGACTCTACAGCACCATACCAGGAGTCCATAGTAGAGTGCTAAAAAACCCTATTTGTCTTGGTTGTTTTTTAAAAGGAAGCCCCATAGTGTTGACCTCAAGCACAATGTATTAGCAAGGACACATTTAATCATGGCAGCATTTATACATGTTCATAAGTTGCATTTCTACTGTCATATAGAATTTTTATGATGGCAGTGGGGTTTGGGAAGCTGCATTGCAAAAGTTTTTAGAGACTGAGAGTCCTGGTATGGCACTGGACTGCTAACCACCACGGTCAGTGGCTCAACCCCACCAGTCACTCCTCATAAACTCTAAACAGAGTCACTATGAGATAGAACTAACTTGACAAGCCAGTTAGCAACAACAACAAAAACAACCAGTAAGGGGAAATATAGATAACTATGGCAGTGATACATATTTTGTAGGTTTAGGTTATAAATGTATGGTCAACTTATAATAGGAAGTAAAAACCGTAATTTATAGTAGATTGGATAAACTTGAGGCCATAAATTTGTTAGCCAGTATTTAATTTTGGATATTAAAAATTGTCAATAAACTCTTCCATGTAAAACTTAGTGACCATTGATTTCTCTAGCAATCTGGAGCGTTTATTGCAGTAAAGAAGTAACCACCCACAAAATGTTAGTATTATTCATGTGTTGTTTAAGAGGTAGCATGAGCATGTTATTTTAAATAAAGACCTATTGGTCATATGTTTATGGTAGAAGATTGAGTGAAAAATTA